AATATTAGATATTGTTGGATTATAAAATATAATAGCAATACTTAGTTAAAAGTATATCTTATTTGCTTTCAAAATCTTAAGTATAAATATATTTAGTAAGAGTCACTGAATTTTGTATGTATTTAAACACTTATGTAACAATATATTTACCAATATTAGCAATATTTAGCATATATTTGAAGGCTCGGGTTGTGTGTGTATATTAGTATATACAATGGTTTCTGCTCTATGTATAGTTAGAACCGTGAGGAGGTCATTTTGTCACTGGGGTTTGGTCTGGATTTTTTTTTCTTTTCCGGAAACTCCTTAGTAGGCATCATTTGTATTAACCAGACTCCCAGACCGTTCAGTGATTCTAAGAATTTTTTTTTTTTTCTTTATTCTAAGAAATTCTAAGAAATTTTGTTTAACCAAAAAAAATTCTATCAAGAAATTGTTTACTATTTATTTGATATTTTGTAGTTGAATAAAGTTTCGGTGTAATGTATCCATCACACATATCTGAGTAAAATAAGCAAAATGGCAAAAATTTACAAACATTTCAGTTCGGCGGGAAATAGTTGCCTTTAAGTACTTGTTGCGTATTATAATCATTTAGATTCTTGTTTAAAACTTGTACACCCATGACAAGACATTCAATTACCATAAGGAAATTTTCTTGCGGAAGCCTTTTGTTAAGGTAAGCCCTTTTTGTCTTGAATTCATCAATAGAAATGAATAGCTTTATTTCATTTGATGTCATTAGATATAATACCACGATTTTTTGTAATATGGTGATGCGTGAGGAGCACTAAAAAGATTTGATTTGATTTTCAATATCACTAAAGTGTACTTATCTTTTTCATTAGTTATTGTAACAAAAGTACAAATTTATGCGTGTTTGAGCTGAAATACAGTGTGATTGAGGACAAAATAACAAAAAACATGGAGACCACTAACGGTTTTCGAGGTTCCAAAAATAGCATTGTGACCGTTGGACAAGGATGGGATTCACATACCGGAAAAAAGCATGGAGACTACTAACGGTGGCGGTTAGACCATTACATTAATTTCTCATAGGGTATGAGGATATCAAAAGTTAGAGCTTGAGAAGACTACGAAAATATCAAGGGTAAGCTCCTTTCTGATCGGGGCCCCAAAAGTTACGCCTTTTGATACATGATATTCTCACTTAAGCAACCTAAATCGATCCGTCATTAGAGAAGATCATCCAAATAATCTTCAAATAAAAATTTATTTCAAGTAACTGCATATCTTATGCCAATCCTTCCATTGGTTTTAAATATATAATTGCCAATTGCCCATTGTACCATTTTTTTTTAATATCCTTGATCAATCGTTTAGTTTCATTTCTTGTCTCGTGCCTATTAGGAATGTGGCCTAACTTAACCCAAAAGCTAGCTCAAGAGTTAAGGGTTGCCACATCTTTTATATACTACCCAAAGATCTTAATCCCAAGCAATGTGGGACATTCTAATAGGCCTCCTCGAGATGTGGGTGGGAAACGGTCCAACGGGAAACAGCCCAAGCCCAACATCTCGGAAATACAATAAGACATGCCACTTATATGGGCCACATAGGTGGGAAACCATTTTTGTGGGACTTTGCTTGTTGGGCCAACCTGGCTCTGATACCATATTAGGAATGTGGCCTAACTTAACCCAAAAGCTAGTTCAAGAGTTAAGGGTTGCCACATCCTTTATATACTACCCAAAGATCTTAATCCCAAGCAATGTGGGACATTCTAATAGTGCCTTGTTGGATCTTTAAATTCGTTAGTCTTTTACATGTTTGTTGAATTTCTTTGTTCATGGTTTGTTTATCTCAAACTTGTCATTCTAGTTCGTTTTAGAAAAAAAATATAAAAATAATCATCATTCGTTTAGTTCATTAAGTGATGATTGTTTCTTGTACATAATACCTTTTTGTACCTTTTTCCTACATATTTGCCTTGCATTTTAGGTAGAATTAGGGAATAAAAATTTCTCTTTCAACTGGACAATCTTGTCTCTGCATTTTCCAACTTCCAAACAATCTTTAGTGGGTGTCCATTTGATTTTTTAGCACACTTGATCTGAGATACAACATTGACTCCAAAACTATATATATGACATCCTAAAGATACATAAACATCATAAGTGGGCCTTGCATAAAGTTGGGAGAGCATTATTTTTATGAAGGCCTCGTAACCTCGTAAGAATATTACGAGGGCTACGTTCTAAAGGGTTCGTACCTAATATGGTATAGTGGAGCGATGATTTTCTCACTTTCTTAGACCATTTTCGATGTTTTTTTTTTTTTGTCTCTAATATAGAGAATTTCTATAATAAAACTGGTTTTTACTTTAAATTATTAAAAACATTTCCCAAAAAATAAATTCAAAATAGATTCTATTTCTATTTTAGTATTAATATCTTTTATTTATAAAAGTTGCAAATTAACTCATTTACTTTAACTTTTACAAAATTTTCATAAAATTATGATATTATTTAAATTAAACATTTATTATAAAAAATACAATACATCATATAAAAATAGGGAAAAACACATTTTTAACCTTCAAAGTGTTATTGGGTAGCACTTTAAACCTCGAAAGAATTTCACTAACACTATAAACAACCAAAATAATTTTACTAACACTTTAAGCCTCTAAACTTGCTTTTCTATTTGTCCCGCCATAAAAAATGATCGAAAATTTAATTTCTATTGTTTAATATATATTTATTTAATTTAATTTAAATTTAAATTAATTTTATTATTTATTACAATTAATGAAAATCTAAAAAAAGCCACCCAAAATTTTTTCACCTTCTTTGTTTACTCACCGTTCGACCATAAAATTCCAAAATTAAACCTCTAAAACTATAGACTTAAATACAAGAGAAGTTTATAGTATAATAATAGAAACTAAATGATGTAGAATATGAGGTACAAGAGAAGCTTAAATAGAATAATAGAAACCAAAGAATGTCGAAGTTTAATCAGAAAGCGAAGCATTCTCCGTATCGGAGGAATCTATTTTTGTTTTACTTTTCTTAATAATAGTAAAATCATAATAAATAATATAATTAATTAAAATTTAAATTAAATTAAATAAATTTATATTAAACTAACATAAATTAATTATTCCATCATATTTTATGGCGGTGCAAACATGAAACCTAATTTGGAGTTTAAAGTGTTAGGAGCCGATTGGTAACGACTGTTACTTTTGGCTTTAAAGACTTTCACTGTAAAGACTTTGGCTGTAGAGACTTTTGCTGTTAGGACTTTGACTTTAAAAATTTTATAACCGATTGGTAAAACATGTGACTGTAGAAATTATGATTTTAAATAACTATCGAAAATATGGAGAAATGGATCTTAATAAAATAAGAAAAAAATTTCCATTGTAAATCAACTGAAATTTTTTTGAAATTAATTATTTAGAGAATTTTATGAGAGTTTTTATACTCATGGGGAAGAAGAAATTAAAAATACTATAGGTTTTTATTATTTTTATTTTGAAAGTCAAGAATACGTGACTTTAGAAAAAAACTGAATCTAAAGAGTAAAAAAAAAAAAATTGGCTTTAAAGACTTTTAAATTAACTAAAGCCAATAAAGTGTGATTGGGAAAATAATGACTTTAAAGACTTTTAAAAATTTTTAAAGTCCCCAAAGTCTTTACCAATCACCCCCTTAGTAAAATTATTTTGCTGGTTTATAGTATTAGTAGAATTCTTTCGAGGTTTAAAGTGTTACCCAGTGACACTTTGAGGGTTAAACATGTGATTATCCCTATAAAAATAATAAAACATAGTATATTTTGGTTAACCATTGGTATTAGTGTATTTTTCCCAAAGATGATCCATTAATGCATTTCAAAGTGAAAAATGAGTTTCTTTATCTTTGATTTTACTAAATTGACCTAGAAACTCTTGGAATCGGATATCATAATCTTCTGTTATTTCTAAATTTACCAAAGTATTAAGTAAATAGTTTTTATTATATCAAAAATAATTATTATGGAATAATGAAACATAAAATATATATAGTTTATATATTTATAAGTATATAATTTATCTTTTGCAAATAGTAGTCTCAAATTTTAGAATAGATATATATACCATATCCTCTAAAATCAACTCAAAATATTAATTTTATTTATTTTAGTTATAAATAAAAATAAAAAGTTAAATGACCACTTTGCAAATATAAAAAAGTCTTAACACTATTATAAAAGAAAAAAATAGAGTTTCTCTTTATATTACACAAAAAATAGCAATCTATATTTTAGAGGTGAAAATAAAAGTGGGTTTGAGTAGATTTTACTATAAAATAAAGTTAAAAACCAAAAGTAGAGATTGGTTGGAGATGTTCTTACAAAGTCAAAGCTGTAGTTCTAATTTCACACCCACTACTTCTTTCTTTTTAAAATGTTTTAATTTGTTGAAGTTTCCTTTTGTTCCTTACTTATTATATTTCAGCTGGTTTCTAGTTATTTTTTACCTTCGTTTTTTATAGAGAAATCATAGTCACTTCGTACAATATATTTTAGCATAATTTTTAAAAACATATTTAGACAAAGATTTTAAATTATGGATAATAAAATTCAAAGGTTTTTAGATCTGCAGTGAAGAAAAACCTTTTTTTTAGATCTGCAGTGAAGAAAAACCTCCAAATATCTGTCAAACTATAATAATATCCGAACTACACTAATAGAGCTTATTGTTATACATCCATCCTATTTATATATTATGTTATATTTCTTATGCATGGAATAACAGAAATAAAGAGACCATCTAAGAGCAGCTCCAATGGGAGCTCTCTTCTTAAAACTCTCTAAAACTGATTAAAATTAAATCAGAAAATACAATTGAGGAGAGAGCTGGTTCTGTGAAGAGGGTTTTGGGAACCCAAGAGAGACGCACACATGTCTCTGTTTGAGTGGCTGACGATTTTTAACAAAAGGAAAAAAAAATTGGGTCTCGCGTTTCACTCTTCTTCAATTTATTTTCCCGACTCTCTCTCTCTCTCTCTTCTTTGGCGAGAGCTCGGCGATGGCTTCTATGAGATTGTGTCCGACGATTCCGGCGATTGAGGGTAGATTTAAGAGATAAAAATGGTGTATGAGCGTGTGTTCGGCCGGATTCGTCATCCCCAGAGCCGCTGCTTACCATCGGCGATGGAAGATTAAGCAAATCAGAGATCCATATCTTCGGAATCAGAGAGTAATCGATGAAGGAAGCTCCCGTTTGTTTCTAATGGTATGAATCTAGTCCTTTTCCCTCGGTTTTCATGATTAAATATTGTAGTTTGATGTTGTCAATTAGGGTTCTTCGATTGTTTTCAAATTAGGTGTATGTTCTGTAAATTAGGGTTCTTAGTTCTAAGCATCGATTATTGTTATTTGAATCAATTTGGACGTTTGTGTTTGTTTTTTTGGCATGATTGAAGACTAATTGAGTCATTGCATGTTTGATTAGTCTTCATAGTTTCGGATAAACAAATTAGGGTTAATAGAATAAATCATCCTAATGTTATTAAGCTTGAAGGTTTGGTTACTTCGCGGGTTTCGTGTAGTCTCTAGATAATGATGGAATACTAAAGATTGCTGATTTCGGGTTGGCTACGTTTTATGACCCAAAGCAAAAGCAAACAATGACTAGTCGTGTTGTCACACTCTGGTAGCGTCCACTTGAGCTTCTTCTTGGAGCTACCGATTATGGTCTGTTATTAGTGTTTATATCTGTTACATTTCTTTATGCTTGTAGTCTCTGGAATTTGTATTGTCTTCATGGGGTGATACCATAATCTAGATTGAAAGTTGTATGTAGTCCTTTATATTAATGGCTGCACTCTTGGTGGAAACTGTTAATGCTATGTTTAGTCATGTGCTTAGTTCATTTGTGGAAACTGATAATGCTATGTTTGGACATGTTCTTAGATAATTGTGCAAGCTGATATACTATGTTTGGGACGGGGATCATTTGTGGAAATGTTCAGTTTCTGTCTTTTTCATCTTTCTAAAATCAGTTAAGTTTGTATCAAATATAATGATTGGATTTTAGGTTATGAGAAGAGTTTGACATGGAACTAATGAATGTAATGGGATGATGCAGGAAGGGGCAATGCTGAAATCAGTACTTTACTTAGAACTCGCTGAACGTGGTGGCGAAGTAGCTGCTGCTCACGTCAAGGAAGTTATACACCAACAGCTTTCTGCAACTTCTCGTGGTCATGTCATACTAGAGCTGTCAAAATGGGCGGGCCGCCCATGGGCTGTCCGTGTCCAACACCTAATGGACCGGTCATGGACAAGCCCGTTTTGACATGGCCAGTAATGGACTGGACTATAATGGATATGGGCTTTATTGGACTGGACTCTAATGGAATTGGGCGGCCCAATAGACAAAAAATGTTAGGTCAAATGATTTGGGGGAAAAAATGAAAAATCGTCAAAACTTTCTAAAATCGAAAATCAGAGCTTCTCCGGCGATTTCTCCGGCGATTTCTTCGCAACAGAGCTTGACGCTTGTCTCCATGGCTTCATCGCATCAATCTCAGCCACTTCTTTCGATTCAGGTCAGATTTCAGAACAAGGTTTTCGATTTGAGCATTTACGATTTAGGGTTTTCGATTTGAGCATTTGCGTTTTAGGGGTTTTGATTTGAGCATTTGCGTTTTAGGGTTTTCAACAGAGAGACCCATTTACTCGTTTTGAGAGAGAATCAATCTACCCTTTTGAGTTTTTGAGATTTTGAGAAAAGACCCATTTGATTGAAGTGTCTGATGTAAAACTTTCTGCTTGTCTACTGCTTGTTTGAGTGTATATGTCAGAAACTGTGAAATAGAATGACAGAATCTCTATTGTTCCTGTGATGTCTTGTATGAACCATTAGGGTTCTGTGAATTGGATTTGAACTTGTGGGTCGATTCACATTTGGGGAATATGATTCTTCTTTTGGGTCTGTTTTGACAGTTTTGTATGTGAAAGTGTCGAGTTTCTTCAGTGATTATGACTCTGTCTTGATAGTTTCTGTGATGTATAGACTGTGATAGTTTCTGTGATGTATAGACTGTGATAGTTTCTGTGATGTATAGACTGTGACTGAAAGCTATTCTTGTTCTCTTTATGATTGTTTTGTATGTGAAAGTGTCGAGTTTCTTCAGTTGTTGTTCAGATTTTTGAAGTTTCTGAGTTTGAACTTCTGTGCTTTTGAGTGTGATAGTCTATGTTTTTGGGTTTGTATGTTTTTGATAGTTTCTGTGATGTTTACAGACTGTGATAGTCTACTGTTTGAAGTGTCTGATGTAAAACTGAAAGCTATTCTTGTTCTGTGACTGATGTCTGATGGCTTTTGATCTTTTTTCAGATGGGTAATGAAGAAACTCTAAACCTAGACGATGACTATATGACTGGAGATGAGATGGATATGGATGAAGAGAATCAGAATGAAGAACAAGAGGAAGTAGATTCACTTGCTAGTACAGCTGAGAACTTGGTGAAAGGTAAACGTAGGCGTAAGCGTTCACAGTGCTGGAAAACCTTTAGAATCATTGGATCTAGTAAGAAAAATGGTGTGATTATAAGTGATGTGAGATGCAACTATTGCAACCACACCTATAGCTTAGACCTGCGTAGAAGTGGTACAAATACTCTCTTGCGTCACATGAGAGGCTGTTCACAGACTCCTGGAAGTACACCTACTGGAAATAGAAAGCTAGATATGATGGTGTTTAGGGAAATGATAGGTTTAGCAATAATTGAGCATGATTTGCCTTTCTCATTTGTTGAGTATCAACGGATTAGAGAGGCATTTCAATATGCTAATTCTAGCATAGAGTTTTGGAGTAGAAACACCGCAGCTGCGGATTGTCTGAAGATCTATGAGAAAGAGAAGCTGAAACTTAGGAAGAAATTAGATGAGGTTCCTGGTAGATTGTGTTTGACAACTGATCTTTGGAGATCCCTTACCATTGAAGGGTACATGTGTTTGACAGCGCATTACATAGATAGCAGCTGGAACTTGAAGGCAAAGATCTTATCTTTCTGTGCCTTCCCTCCTCCACACACAGGAGCCGGTATAGCTACAAAGGTGTTAGCATTGTTAAAAGAGTGGGGGATAAAGAAGAGATTGTTTACCATTACGGTAGACAATGCGTCTTCCAATGACAACATGCAAGGAATCCTCAAGAGACAGCTTAAAAAACATTTGGTATGCAATGGAGAATTCATGCATATAAGATGCAATGCTCATATTTTGAATTTGATTGTGCAAAAGGGGCTTGAAGTAATTGATGAAGCTTTGGAGAAAATCCGTGAGAGTGTGAAGTATGTGACAGTGAGTGAGTCTAGAGAGCAAGCATTCCAAACGTGTGTTGATACTGTGGGAGTTGAATCTAAAGCAGGGCTGTTATTAGATGTATCTACAAGATGGAATTCTACACATCTAATGTTAGAGAGAGCCATCATTTACAAAGAAGCATTCCGGCATCTTTCTGAAGTAGATGCAAGTTATCAAAGTTGTCCATCCACTACAGAATGGGAGAGAGCTGAGTTAATTCATGAGTTCTTGACCCCATTTGCAGAGATGACGAATTTGATCTCTGGATCATCTTATCCAACGGCGAATTTATACTTCATGCAAGTATGGCAGATTGAAATGTGGTTAAAAAGCCATGAAGACCACTATGATGAAGTAATCCGTGACATGGTGATTGGTATGCAAGAGAAGTTTGGTAAATATTGGAGTGAGTATAGTGATATCCTTGCCATTGCGGCAGTGTTTGATCCTAGACTGAAGTTCCCTATGTTGGAGTATTGCTTCAATACACTTGATGCTTCCAGTTCTAAATCTAAGATTGATCACTTGCATAAGAAGCTGAAGAAGCTTTTTGATGTCTATAAAAAGAACCCAAAGAAAGCTGCTGCTGGAACTTCAGACTCCACAGTGGGACAAAACATTCTTCCAGGATATGATGTAAGTTTCTCTGAATCTAACTCTTTAACTTAGTTTCTGTGATTATGTCTGATATGGTCTGATTAGTATGTGTATCAAAGTCTCTGTGATTCTGTCTTTTATAGTCTCTGTGTTTGTCTATATGATATGGTCTGGTCTGTGTTTGATATGGTCTGTGTTTCAGTTATCAGTCTTTAACTCATTCTGTCTTTAAGTATAGTCAAATACTTTTAAGAAAATCTGTGTATACTTGCAGTCTCTGTCTTTAACTCATTCTGTCTTTAAGTATAGTCAAATGCTTTTTGTGATTCTGTGTAAGAAGTTTTAAAACTCTGTGAAGGATAATGTGTCAGAAGTTTCTGTGATTCTCAGAAACTGTGCAAGTATAGTCTCTGTCTTTAACTCATTCTGTCTTTAAGTATAGTCAAATGGTTTCTTAAGTATAGTTTCATCAAAGTGTATTGGTTTCTCAGAAACCGTTTCTGGTATGATTGCTGCAGGTTTGTAGTCTCTGTGATTCTGTCTTTTAAGGATAAAAACTCATCATTTTCATGTATTGATCTGTGTATTGTCTGTCTATGCAGGGGTTTTATGCTTTTATTTCTCAGACGGCTGGTGCTAATGGAAAGTCCGCATTAGACAAGTATTTGGATGAACCTGTTTTGGATATGGTGGCCTTTAAGAGCATGGATATATTAGCTTATTGGAGAGACAACGCAAACCGGTTCAAAGAATTGTCTGCTATGGCCTGTGATGTCTTGAGCATCCCCATTACAACAGTAGCTGCAGAATCTTCATTTAGCATAGGAAGCCGAGTCTTAAATAAGTACAGGAGTTCACTTCTTCCTTCAAATGTGCAAGCACTGATTTGCGCAAGGAATTGGCTACGTGACTTTGAAGAAATTAGTAAGTGTTTGTGCTTATTTTCTTTTGTCATATTTGAATCAATTTGAATCTTATTGCAAAGTTGTTCTTCTGCTGTACTTAGGTGTTCCAATTGAGTTCCTTGATGAAGACAAAGGTGTGAAGGAAGGAGAAGAAGAAGTTTAAGACATTTGTGAAGAAGAAGTTCACATTTGAATACTTTATTGCTATGATTTGCTTTTGGATTTGATACTTTGTTGCTTTGATTTGCTTTTGGATGTGATACTTTGTTGTTTATTTGGATATTTGTCTTAAACTTTTGGATTGAATTTGAGATTTTTGCAGATTTTGGCGTTTTTCATAATTTGTTCTTGTGGTGACCAATGGACACCAATGGACAGCCCATTAAAACATGGGCTATAATGGGCATGGGCTATAATGGACATGGGCTATAATGGACATGGACATTATTTGTCCATAACTAAAATGGTCAATATTGGACCGGGCTAATGGACGTGGACAGCCCATTTTGACAGCTCTATGTCATACACCAAGCCAATAACTGGCGTCCTCTACCAGCTACTCGCTGACTCCCATCTTTTATTACAGTGAGGTCAAAGTGATTGGCTCGTTACATGTCCATAACTTAAATTCAATTGGCCATGTTTCAATGACAAAACCTTTCGATTTCTCTAATTCACACTCATGTTTGAATCCAAATGGTGCGGCTGATACATGAATCCACAACACCAAAAATGTAAATCCGCGTTTGACAATAGGATACTGAATATTACAGTTTGTTTGATTTTGTTTTTTGGGTTTGGAAATAATCGAAAGTTTCATTGTGTAGTGAATAATATAAATATTTCAACACACAAACTTTATACGAAAGACATGTAAACTAAGCTTATCCAGATAATATGCTATATGATACAATATATAGCAAAAATTTCGCAAAAATTTCACAACACTCAACGGTACAACTAATCGTTATTCCGGTGTTGTTTTTGCACATCTTTTTATAAATGTTTGAAATAATGTATGTTTAATATTTTTATGAATTGCAATAATAATTAAATTTTATGAAAGAATATTTTTTAATAAAAAAATTTTTCTAAGAGAACCTCACTAGAGAACCTACCATTGGACTATGAAAAACTAAAAAAAAAAACTAAAAGTTCTCATCTCATATTTTCAAGAAATTTATAATAAAAAATTTGAGAGAGTCTCATGGAAAGAGCTCTCCATTGGAGATGCTCTAAGTGCTATGAACCCTTTTCTAGTCCAAATCAGTAGCAGTAACATAACAAACTAACTTAGCAAACACGACATCAAAAACATGAAATGTGGATATCAAACATGCACGTCATTTCCTTATACCCTTCACGTGTATATATATACATATTCGCTCACATACTCACATTATTAAAAGATCCTCCAAAGATTTGTGAAGCCACAATATATACCCTGACTAGATTCTTCTAATATTTATCTTTGGGACATGGAGGGTTCCTCAAATGTGTTGAGAAAAGGTACATGGACTGCTGAAGAAGATAGTCTCTTGAGGAAATGTATTGATAAGTATGGAGAAGGCAAATGGCACCAGGTTCCTTTAAGAGCTGGTATATGTTATATATTATTTATCTATAGTTTTATTAGCTACTTATATTCTAATTTCTCTTCGATTAACTTACAGTTTGAAAATAATAAATTAATTAACAAGTGGGTGCAAATTCATTATTTCCATATATACTCAATGATTGTTTTATTTTATTTTTTTGTGTTGTCAACATAAATGGTGAACTTATATAAGAAAGTGTATCTAACACTAAAGATATGTAGTCGGTAAACCCTCTCGTTTGTTTTTCTTTTAGTAACTGAGCTAAAAAGAGAAAATCAGTGTACATACACGTATCTATATGTTTCTGTTCAAAGATTTGTCGTGATAAGAGTAAAGGGTTATGTAGGGTTAAACCGATGCGGGAAGGGTTGTAGATTAAGATGGTTGAACTACTTGCAGCCAAGTATCAAAAGAGGAAACTTTAGCTCAGACGAAGTTGATCTTCTCCTTCGCCTTCATAAGCTTCTAGGGAACAGGTTTATATTCCTTAGACACAAATCTAAATTATTTACATAATGTAACGGTCCAATACAAATTGTTCGAATGCATGCTTTAGGTGGTCATTGATTGCCGGTAGATTGCCTGGTCGGACAGCTAATGATGTCAAGAATTACTGGAACACCCATTTCTCGTGTTGTAAGAGAAGAAAGAGAGAAAATACTTGTTCAGCTACCTCGCCAATCCAAAGAATCAATGTTATAAAGCCTCTAACTCAATCCTATAACAACTTCAGCTGGCTCAACTGGCAGCCAGAAGTTGGCTTTGGCAAAGTAAGCAACAATGATGATAGTATCACATGTAACAAAGATAAGGAGAAATATGAGTTTGTGAACAATCTTAAGGTTTGTAAGATTTGCAGTAAAGAAAAACTCTCCAAAAGTTTGTAAAATGAAAGAAAAAGAAAGAGAAAACTTATTTCTCTATTCTGTTTTATTTCTTGTGCATGAAATTGCTCTCTCTTTTGTAATCATGTAAACCATCAGCCATCAATCATTAATCTTCCTTTCTCCTAATTTTTTTAAGAAACATTTTTTTTTTATGTACTGAAAAACGATGAAGAAACTCCCTAGTCGCTAGGTGCCATGAGCCTTTTATCTAGTCTTAATCAGTAACCAAAATTTTACTTAGAAAATAATGCACGACATGTAAAATATAAAAGGTGGATATCAAACATGCACGTCACTTCCCTATCTCTTCAAACATGAAATATGGATATCATCAAAGCTCTTCTCACGTGTATATATAATTTTGCTCGGACACTCACATTCTCTACAACTCCTGCATGGATTTGTGAAGCCACAATATAAACCCTCTTCCTTGACCCTTTTCCTATATATTGTTTTAAATAATTTGGATAGATACTTTCAATATCTATATTTGTTCCATGGAGGCTACTTCCAATGGGTTGACGAAAGGTGCATGGACTGCTGAAGAAGATAGTCTCTTGAAGCAATGTATTGATAAGTATGGTGAAGGCAAATGGCACCAAGTTCCTTTAAGAGCTGGTATGTTATACACACACACATATATAATCACTACGAATATTCTTCTGTCTCTCGGCAAATTAAATAATATCATTTTTTCCTTTTTATTTTACTGAACAACTCTTTTTTTTTCATGCTTTTAAAGGTTGTTCATGACAATTATTTATTCTGTTCATATTTATGTTGGACCTGAACGAAGATTATTATTTAAAATTAAAGAAAAAAAGTTATACATATTGCTAGTCGAAAAACTCTTTTCTTAATTGCATTTAAGTAAATAAACTCCGTGGAAATTTCTGTACGAAAACGAGTTTACGTGTGGGAAAACTATATTATATATATTTTGGTGCGCATAGATTCTTCTTGAAAATTAATGTCAATTATTGGTTTTGTAGGGCTAAATCGATGCAGGAAGAGTTGTAGACTAAGATGGTTAAACTATTTGAAGCCAAGTATCAATAGAGAAAAATTTAGCACTGATGAAGTTGATCTTCTTCTTCGCCTCCATAAGCTTCTAGGAAATAGGTAGACACTGTTTACTTGATTCTTTATATTTCAGGTTCCATAAGTTTCAATACTAATAGTAATAACTTATCTTATACATGTATATTGTTTCACAATGCTTAGATGGTCCTTGATCGCGGGTCGATTGCCTGGTCGTACCGCAAATGATGTTAAGAATTACTGGAACACCCATTTGAGTAAGAGGCATGAACTGTGTTGTAGTTCCAAAATGAAAAAGAAAAACATTACTTCCCCTCCTACCACACCTGCCCAAAAAATCGAAGTTTTCAAGCCTCGACCTCGATCCTTCTCCGTTAAAAACGCATGTAGCCATCTCAATGGCTTTCCAAAAGTTGATGTTATTCCTCCATGCTCTGGACTCAACAACAATAATGTTTGTGAAAGTAGTATCATATGTGGCGAAGATGAGAAGAATTATGAGTCTGTGTATAAAAATCTAATGGATAAAGACAATATGTGGTTGAAGAGTTTATTAGAGAGCCAAGAGGCAGATGCACTGGGTCCAGAAGCAACGACAATAGAAAACGGGGCCACTTTGGCATTTGATGTTGAACAACTTTGGAACTTGTTTGATGGAGAGACTGTTGAACTTGATTAGTGTTTATGACTGTATGTTTGTTTTTTTCTGCGTTTGTGTTTTGCAAAATAAAAAGTTGTGTTTCGGAATATTAGAAATTTTTTCAGAAATTTCTCATGTGGTATATGCTCTATAAATTTATGGGTTTGATTGGTGAACAAAATAAAAGTATTACAAGTTGTACCGCTTTTATTTTTACCAATCACAAAAGGTTTATCAAAAGCGTTACTAAAAGTTTTACTCTCACCTTTTTTGTACAGCTTTCTCGTACAGCTTTTTCATACAGCTTTGCACTATTCCGGTAAAGCTTACACCTCCAGCTAACAGCTAAAAAATTTGTACAGCTTTTGGTTACCAATCGGACCCTATATAAAGGTGGCAGCTTTTGTTACACTATAACTCAACATGACTTAAACATAATAAATAAATAAATAAATAAATATCACAAGTAAAAGAAAGTTTAACCCCAAAACTTTATTTATTTATTTATTTAAATAATAATAATAATTGTTATTATTAATATTAATATTATTATTATTATTAGGATTCAAGATCCCCCACCATGTCATGGGGAAATGTTTTTCAAAAATCTCTAAAGAAACAAATATCAAACAAAAGGTATAGTGAATTGAAATAACTTTACAAAATAACTAGATCATCACCCGTACTACAGTACGGGTTGAATTTCATTTATTACAAAATTTATAAATTTTATGTTTTAGAATAAAGTTGTGATATATTATAATAGTAAGTGCAAAAAATAATATTTTTTTGTCAGTCCCTATGTATAATATTAGAATGAATATATTTTCATTTTTCTATAGTATTCAATTATGGATATTTTTTTTTAAGATATGAAAACGGAAAATAAGATTATTAAAAAAAATTAATATTGATTGAACAATGAGTTAATTTATGTTAACAACCACAAAATGAGAGTGCATATAATTTAGTTAGATCAAAAATCAAAATATCATAAATGAATCGCATCTAAAACGTAGATTATTTTGAATTACTTAAGAAAATTAGCTATTATTTTGAATTAATTTAGGAAATTATTTTTTCAAATTCTGATTCATTGGTTGTTGAAATAAATATTTGTTTGAGCTAATTACGGAATTTACCAATTATTCACATAATAAAATATGTTATGAACATATATTTGGTATATAATAATACCAAATTCAATCTGTGTGTGGAGTCTATATTTTCATTTTACAATCCGTATGAAAATATTGCGGTACAATCTATTATTTATTATTTTCAAAATTGCTTGCAGAATCAAATTTTCAAATATTTAGAAGTGTCAAACTTTATTTAACTCATCTCATCATAAAATCTTAAAATGCCGTCTGTTATAAGGATCATAATTTTCTACCATATAATACATTACATTTAACCCGCCGCCTACTATAAATATTTTAAACATATCTTTTTAGAAAAACAAATTATTGTATTTATAATTTTTTTTATCTTTTTAATCTATTAAATATTTATGATATTCTTTAATATATTAAATTAAACTATTTTAAAATGTTCCAAATTAAAATCTTTAAAAAAATTTATTGTATTATGTAAAATTATGAATTTTAAAAAAATTATACGAAATTAAATATAAATATTCAAATAGTTATAAGGATCATAACTCATTTCATCATATAATATATTATATTCAACCCGCCGCCTATTATAAATATTTGTTTCAAAAAATCAAATTAGAGTATTTATACTTCATAAATTTTTGATCTATTAAGTATTGATGATATTAAAAAAAAGGAATATATTACTCAAATATGAATTTTTGACCCGTTAAATTTGTTCTTTCATACATTGAATAATTTATATTCGTTTTTAAAAATTCAAATTTTGGTATATGCGGAAAAAAAATTACTTTTTTTTTTTATTATATAGATGATATAATGATTTATTTATTTATAGAAATAGAATCATATAAAGATGAGAGGTGAAGTATAATGATTAATAACAAATTAATATGGTAAGTTAGATATCAAATCTTATATGTTCATTTTGATTGGTCATTCTTTTTAAAGAAATTAATAATAGATTTTCGTTTTTATAATTAAATTAAATTAATTAAATTGCATAAAATAGTATTTGACTTGTTTAACCTTAATGAGTTGAATTAATTTACTCTATAAAATTTTATTTCTAATGGCATTATTAAGTAAATTCTTACAAAGGAGAAGGTTAATTAAGGGTAATCCATAAATTGTACTCCCCAAATAATAGTATAGGATTTTTTTAATAATAATCAAAATATCTTTTACAAAAAAATTATGATAAAGAGACGTAACCCTCAGAAGTATTTATTAAGATTTATGTTATTATTAGACAAACATTTGGATGAAACGATGCAATCATAAGTAAAAAATATCAAACAAAAATTTATAATGAGTAGAAGCAATTTTTCAATTTCTTAAACAATTATAAATATATTTAACAAAACATTATGATAAAATAAGCATTATTTTAATATTTTAAAGAGAAAAAATGCCCGAAAATTAAAAAATAACCTAGCTATTTAGGAAACAAAACTAGTGATATAGATAACAAAGTATAAACATGAATGCTAGATAGCGAAAAAATACAACTTTTATTTGAAAAAGTGTCAAAAAATAAGTAATAAATATACATAAGTTTTCTAAGAAAAAGAAAAAAAAAAAATATATATATATATATATATATATATATATATAGAGTCAAAAAGACATGAAAGTTTAAATAAACAAAATTGTTTATAAAAAACACAACTATTGGAACGAAGAGTTTGTTATGAAAAAACAAAAATAAACATGATCAAAATATACAACTCTAAATGAACAGATATAACTTTAATTAATGCTCACAAAAATCTTTTATAAAGGGCTAATATTGCAGCTATTCATCAAATATACCAAAAGTTGTAATACTTCATCAAATAAACTAAAAGTTACAACGGTTCATCAAATGTTACAACGGTTCGTCAAATAAGCCCAAGGTTACAACGGTTCGTAAAATAAGACAAAATGTTTATTTGTTAGTCAAATAAGCCAAAATTTTCATTGGTTCGTCAAATAAACCAAATGTTACTATGTTGAATTAAACGGTAATGAGAATTCATTTAAACATATTTTAGTAATTAAAATTTTCAAAAAAATTATGAAGAACAGTAACCGAGAGACACGACCATTGATATCAAATATAACAAAAGTTGCAACATTGGTAAATATACGAATTGTTGCAACCATTAGTCAAATAAGTTAAAGATTACAACATGTCATAAAACAAAACCAAAATTTAAAATGATTCGTCAAATAAACCAAATGTTGCAACAGTTCAATTCAACATTTAAAATTTCATATAAATATATTTTAGTAAATAAAATTAATAGCAAATAAAATAGGTTAAGTAAATGTAAATAAGTAAGAATAACTTCTTGACATTTAAATCCTTCGTCTAATACCTTCTCTACAAATTCTCAACTTAGAATCAAGCACTAGAGCTAAAACCTCCGCTGTAAATCTCAACACTTTTTGAAATATATTTGACCAAACCAACTAACCAAGGATAAATAAAAGCATGTGTACTTGAAGTGACATTTTCATTTTCACTTTCAGTAAATGTTTTTTTTTTTGTAATAAAATATTACGGGGAAAGTATTGAGTCCTATTGTTTTCAAAGAATTTTTGGGCCCGAAAAAAATCTTAGCTCGCCAAACTGATGTAACAATAGCCTTTGGTATATATATTCACACTTTAGCCTAAAAGAGAAAAGAAGAAAAAAAACAATCTAAGAACCAGATTATACCTGACAGAACTTTTTTTGTTGTCATATGTTTTTATTAATATAGTCAAAGAATGATATATTAATGAAATAATTATAGATATCGGCAGAATAACTAAATATCCCCGGAAACATATTCCCAAAAAGAAAAACGAAACCCCAACTTATAGAGAACTTATAGAGAATTAAGCTAAATAGAGATACATGGAGAGACAAACGATAATACATGATGGATAAAACTACCAGTTATGAAATATTGTGTAAAGTATATATGATTCAAAAATCTATAGAGAGCTGATTCAAAAAAAAAATTAAGATTTTGTTTACAAATTAGGTAATTACCGCAAAAAAAAATAATAATTTAGAATCATAAATAATCAAAATAAAATCGAGGGACATTTGTAACAATCTTTTTGGCAAGTAAGATCCATCTTATTCGGGTTGAACTACAAATGCATGGGACCAACAAAAACTCTTATCGTTACTTACTTTTACAAGTTTTGGGGCCATCAGTGTTGTCATGTATCAATTTAACTATACGTTTATTGTGTATCAATGAAGCAATAGAGATGTAACATACGGCAATGTCTATATCATATTGACTGGATCGGACAAACTTGTTCTAATCGTAACCGTTAAAATTGTATTTTATTTATTGATAGTAACAGAGATTGATTAGATTTGTGTAAATATGTGCGTATATAATAAATTAATAATACAATACTCATACTAATAATGATATTTTTGGTAATAAAATTTGGTATTTTGAAATGTTTTTCGTATTATTACGTAAATAGTGCACGACTCTCATGAGTTTTGATAATATGGGCCAACCGGACAACGGAAAATGACATGATTAAAATTAGTGCTCTATATTTGAAAGGTGACACTTACACGTGAATGGATCTACCAAATTTCCATCATGTTCAGTGTCGAATATACAAAATCGTTAATGATTATAATCAAGACTAGTTATTTTTAGTATGTTATATTTCATTTATGGAAAGTAAGAAGTGACTGAAAGGTTTTTTAATTATTTCATTGGAAAAAGTGATTTTCAACAACGTGTTATTATAATTTACGTAGATATTTAGTTTCTAAAATAGAGATTATAGTTTAAAATTTCGAGATTAGAGTTTAGTTTTGTTAGTGTCATATGAGTTCACAAAACAAACTATGTACTAAAAAATCTGCTTCAGAGGTACATAAATAAAAATATGTTACAATAAAAAATCACGTTTTTTATAACACTTAAGTGAATGAGTAAAATTGATATTATTGGTGGAAATATATCACATCATTTTTGTTTATTAATTTCAATATTCTCCACTGTCAATTGGCAAATTCACTTGAAATTAAGTGTTCAATATGTGATTTAATTAAAGATAAACCATTATATCTAAAGAGATAATGATGGATTTAAAGGATCTAGTCCACTTTCGATCGTCGCAGTGTAACTCAATTTTGTCAAATTCATCATATATGTGCAAATTTTTGTCACCACGATACTTTTTTTTTTTTTGGTAAGCAACAGGAGACTAAGTCTCCCGTCAATTTATTAAAATAAAAGAACCTTACAACCGTACATTACGTGGTCGTGAAGACCCACTCATATCCTCTAACCAAATAGAACGAACAAAATCGGGAATAACAGTAAAAGAATGAAATCCTAAAGGAAGAGTAAACGCATAGTTAGCTAACCCATCCGCTAGACGGTTCGCCTCCCTATACACGTGACCAATTCGGACTATCCAGTCCCTCGAGATAAAGCCATAGCACAAGCGTACTAGGAAAGACAGCGGATGCGAATCACGAATCCCTGTCGTAAGAAAACCCACCACAATCTCCGAGTCCACTTCAAGTTCTACCCGCGTGAATCCTCTCTCCCACGCAATATATAACCCGTAGTACACTCCCCATAACTCCGCCAAAGGTGCTGAACAAAAACCGACATTCACCGCAAAACCACCAATCCAATGTCCGTCGATATCCCGTAGCACACCTCCTGCTGTTGCCAGTCCGGGATTCCCATGAGACGCACCGTCGGTGTTCAATTTCACCCATCCCTCCCGAGGCAATTTCCAAGCGACCAGCCTCTCTACCCGTGCGACTCCGTGGGAATTTCCATTTACTATCGAGTGAGCCATATATATCTCCTTAGCCCAGTCCTTGAGAAATTTGACCCGATCTCTACATCTCTGCATCCCACCAAACACCTCTCCACACCGCCATTTCCATGCCCACCATATTATCGAAGAAAACAGAGTTGACCAAGGAACTTCATACCTCTCCGCGTTATCACTCATGTTCCGATACAACCATTCCAGCAACGTTCTCTCGAAGAAAGCTTGCTGTTTAGATTGCGGGACTATGCGGTGCCAAATCCCCGATATTGACGGGCAGTCTCTGAGCACATGAAGCAAAGTTTCATCGCCGCTGCTACAAACTGGGCATAAACCTGTGTCAGAGAGATGACGTCGATGCCTTTCCTTATTTGTCATGATAACCCGATGAGCCACTAACCAACTGAACAACTTTACTCTTTCCGGTACCACTGCCCGCCAGATTTGGTCATAAAACTTAGCCATGTTCTGTTTCGGCTTCTCATCTCTGGTAAGTAGACCATAAGCCGATTTCACCGTAAATGATCCATCCGGTGTCTCACTCCACGCCAATCTATCTGACGCCCCTGTCACATTATCAACTACCACCGCGGCTAGCTGCAGTCTTACAGTATTGGAGACATACGGTGTAATCTGCGAGAGTATCCAGCCAGCTCCATTAAGCCACAAATCACTTACTTTACGGCCCCTAGCAGCCGCAGGCAAACTTCCTTGCACGGCCTGCAACAATGGTGTATTAGACAGCCATTTATCCTCCCAAAATTTTATTTCTCTGCCACTGCCCAACACCCAACGAAGCCCTGGGAAGACTACTTCTCTTAGCCCAACTCCCACACTCCTCCAAGTCATAGACCAATTACTCTTGACTGTTAACCAGCCTACATCATGCGTATCTCCAACTTTATACTTAGCCCGGAGTACTCGTGCCCAGAGGCTAGATTTGTCGTGAAGAAGACGCCATCCTATTTTTCCCAATAGAGCCTTATTCATTGAGGCTGAAGAACGAATACCAAGCCCCCCTTCATGTTTTGGCCGGCATACTCGTTTCCAAGCTAAGAGATGTTGTTTCTTCTTTTCTGTGGTACTTCCCCATAAAAAGGATCGAGAAACTTTATCAAGTTGTGCAAGAGTAGACTTTGGTAGCAAAATCGTACTCATAGAATGTACCGGGATAGAGGACAAGACCGCTTTCGTGAGAGTTAAACGGCCTGCGAGACTGAGAAATCTTCCTTTCCAACCGGATAACCGTGAAGACACTCTCTCTAAAACCTCTCCAAAAGTTTCTTTGTTAATCCTTTTGTGTAGAATCGGCAGCCCAAGGTATTTCCCCAAGTCAGTAGTAGCTTTTATCCCACTTTCGGCACTGATTTGACTGGCTAAGTCTCTATGGACATTACTTGAAAAAAATATCTTTGACTTGTCTAGGCTCACCTTCTGTCCCGAGGCTAAACAAAAGCGTTCCAATACCTTCCTGATCACCCGTACTTGACTAACTGATGCTTCAGCAAACAATATTAAGTCATCAGCGAAACAAACATGTGATAGCTTCGGGCCTCCTTGTGATAGACTGATCGGCTTCCACTCCTTAGACGCTATTGATAACTCTATCAAATGACACAGCCTCTCAAGACACAATACAAAAAGATACGGTGAGAGCGGGTCGCCTTGTCGTAGCCCTCTCAACGGTTTAAACGGTTCTGTTCTCTCCCCATTCCACAACACCGACATAGATGGTCCCGTTACACACTGCATAATCCATCGCCGCCACACATCCGGTAGCCCGGCAGCCATAAGTGTGTCTTCTAGGAAATCCCACCGGATTCGATCATAGGCTTTCTCTAGGTCAAGCTTAAGGAGCATCCAACCCTTTCTCCCCTTTTTCCTTCTCATAGAGTGGACTGCCTCTTGCACTAGAACAATATTGTCCGTACTCAACCGTCCCGGAATGAAACTAGCTTGAGCCGGACCAATCAACTTCGGTATCACCTTCTTTAAGCGCATCACCATTATTTTTGTAATTGCTTTAAAGAGCACATTACATAGGCTAATAGGCCTAAATTGCTTAATATTCTCTGGTTTTGCAACCTTCCCAATCAACACCAATAGAGCATCATTTGTCTCAGCCGGTAAGACTCCGGTTTCAAAAAACTGAATCGCAAACCGGGAGACCGAAGGACCAACAACGTCCCAACACTCTTGGTAAAAAACCGGTTGATAGCCATCCGGTCCAGGCGCCTTAAATTTTCCCATACTCCGTATTGAAACAGCAACCTCCTCCTCCGTCACCGGTCTGTTCAGACTGATAAGCTCATCTCGTGTAATAACCTCAAACCCCAACTGTGGCAGCCCAACTACTTCTTGCTCCACGTCCTCTAATGAGTAAAGTCGTCGATAATACTCAATAGCTAGAGTTTCCAGTTCTTGTGCATTAGATATCCAGTGCCCTGCATCATCTTTCAGCATCTCAATTCGATTTCTTCTTCTCCGGATGATGGTAGAGGTATGGAAATACGTTGTGTTTCGATCTCCCAAAGCTATCCACTTCTCCCGGGATTTTTGAAACCAAATAGTCTCCTCTTGTTCCAGCACCAAATCAAACTCCTTGATTAATTCTTCCTCTCTCTTTAGCAACAAATCTGATTGTTGCAAGTCCAACGCATCTTGTACCTTTCTTATCTCCGTGATCAGCTTCTCTTTTTTTTGTTGGACATCCCCAAAAACTTCCTTATTCCATTTTTTCAACGTTTCCCGCAACCCCTCAAGTGCCTCTGGTGTTGTTAACTCGCTTCTCCAAGAGTTAGACAACAGCTCATGGAACCCGGAGTGCTTCAACCATGCCGCTTCGAACCTGAACGGCCTCCGTCTCGGGTTTCCTCTCACCTCCGGACTCAATTGCACATAGAGTGGTGCGTGGTCCGAAGCCATGATTGGTAGATGCGTGACAACTGCCTCATGCCATCTTAGTCGGGTTTGAGCACAGCACATCACACGATCTAATCGTTTGGCAACATAAGTATCATATGCTCTCCCTCTTCGCCAAGTAAACTTGTTACCCCGAAATCCCATATCGATGAGTAGCGACTCATTAATCCAATTTCCAAAAGCGAGAGAGTCTGGAGACAGCCGACCATTGCCTCCTGTTCTCTCATCCAATCGTAAAATCGTATTGAAGTCCCCGCCAATAATTAATGGATCATCTATCCCCTGTATAACCTCTTTTAGCCTTCCCCATAATCCACTTCTCCGACTAACCGAAGGAGCAGCGTAAACCGCAATAACATGCATGGTCTCCAGCCCATTTACTACCTTCGCATGTATAAATTGGTCCGTTGACTCCACTATTAACACCTCGCCCACACTCGTCCTCCATAACAGCCACAGCCCACCACTCTGTCCGCTTGCGTCCACTCTAACTGAGTTCTCGAACCCCAATCCTTGACAAATACGGTTAGCCCTATCCCCTCCTGCGTGAGTCTCAAATAAGGCTAAGATGTCAGTGTGATTTTTCTTCAAGATATAACGTATCGATCGTCGAAAGTTGGGTTTATTCGCCCCCCGGCAATTCCAAAATAAGCAATTCATCATTCTTATTATTGCGTGGCGTAGAAATACCGGGGGAAAACATTACGCAGTTGGTAACACCGCTCCTCCACCGAGCGACCCACTGTGCAACACTATTTCTCCATTCCTCATTTCCTCCTCCGGGCTTGACTGTACCCCTCCCATCTCCACCGGTCCGTTCGTGGAGGAGCTTTCACCTCCCACATTACCCTCGTTATTCTTCACAAATACTCCCCCAGGTCGACCCACACTCCCCTGTTCCATCCTCAATCTTTTGCCTGACTCCGATAATTCCATATGGGCTGGCTCCGATAAATCCTTACCACCTTTTGTCGGGCCGAAAATCAACCCCCTCGTAGGCCTGGTTTGCTTATGATATTTCGTTTTGGGCCCATTAATGTCCACCACCTTTTGAGCCCATTGTCGTCTATCCTTAGCCCCATCATTATTCCCTCCCTTTCCTTTTTCAAAAGAACCAACAGCCTTGCCTTTAACTTGATCCGCACTCTTCTCTCTCCCTTGCGGATTTATCATAATCTCATTCTCCTTATTTGCACCACCAGAATTAACAACTTCCCTAGACTCACGGGATACTGAATTATCCTCCAAACTCCCAAATCGGTTAGTTACCTTAACCGGTTGGATATTCTGAATATTGTTATTTCCCGAGATATCCTTCAGATTCCTTTCCAAATTTGTGCCCTGTTTCTTCGCCGTGAATACCATTCGATTTTCCGGTGCTGGCGCTCGTCTTCCACCCCTGCGCACCACCGTAAACCCATCATCACTTTGTTTTGGTTCGCTAGACACACCGGACGTCGAGACTGGCTCTGCCACTACCACCAACTCTTTCCCCACCTCCTTCCGCGGACACATGTGTACCAGATGACCATAGAGACCACATAGGGAACAAATATTAGTGAGCCCTTCATAGGCCACATAGTACCTTTCGCCATTCACCATAACCGTTCCCTTAAGTGGCTTCTTCAAATTAACTTCAACACATACTCTTGCAAATCTTGCACGCTCAAAGTTCAAAGTCGTCAAATCAACTCGTATTGGCTTCCCCAATCCGCGAGCGATCCCCAACAGAATTGACTTGTGGTAAAAGTTAACTGGAATATTCGACAACCGTACCCAGACCGGTGTTGTCACGATTTCATCTCGCAGTGGATCAAACTCCGGTGACCACGCCTGCACCATTAGGTAACTCCCGAATACCCTCCATGGCCCTCCAGTCAAAGCCGTCAAGTACTCTTCTTCTGAATCAAATCTTATCATGAAGAACTGTCTTGGGAGATCCATTACATACATAGCGCCCGTCGGTTTCCACATCTCCCGTAATCTCCTACTCAGCGCCGGGAGCGGAACATTCCTTCCCAGAACCTTCACAATCATGCATCTCTTCCACAATCCATTCATCGCGTTCAACACCTCCGATCCAATCGTAATGACCGGCTCACCATCCTCACCGTTTGGAAACTCCAAACTCACCCTCTCCGAGACAAAATCATCATCTAACAACAACTCCGGTACCGGGCGACCCCCTGAACTACCCGTCACTTTCTGCACCCACGAAGCTGACGTGTCTGGAGGATCCCCCGGTGGAGGAGCTTTCTCACCAATGTCCGACATAGTTGCGTCCTGGTCGCCAGAGTCGGGAGCGCCGCCACTCGCCATCTTTTTTCTCTTGAAAACTTTTTTCACCACGATACTTTTAGACATATGGCTTAACTTTTATGCGATAAAATTATGGGGTAGTGGAAGTTTTTAAAGATAAAGCTAAAAATGTGTTGGTTCTTTACCGGAAAATTAGCGTTTAAAAATACTCTTTTCAGTGCTTTCAAAATCTCTTTATAAAAAATATAACTCTTAATTAACTTTAATAAACAGTATCATATTCAATAACAATTGCCTAATACGTTAAACATAAGCAGGCTATTTATAAAAAAGTTCAGAATCCTAAGAAATATCAAAAGCCCTAAAGATATCCTAAAGTTAACTACTAAAATAAATAATATAATGAAAATAAAAACTTTTCATCTTTGTCTTAAATCTACACTGATTGTTTTTTTTCCATTCATTGCCAATATTTGGCATGTACAAAGCAAACAAATGTGTATGTGTGGTTCACAGTAAAATATCAAAACAAATATTTGGAAGTCTAAATTATTTTGTTGAAATATTTAATATACGAATACGACTTCCCAAAATTTTGCCAAAAAAAAAAAAAACGAATACGACATCTATTTAAAAAAAAAACTATATATTGTTGATCATTACTAAGTCGATTTATTAATAATTAAAATAACTTGTGTAAGATTTACTTTAGATGGTTATCGTTGTTAATGCTTATGTTTATAAAATTTTACACAAATTTTCAAAGATAATACTCTTACAATTTTTTTCACAATCTCAATTATATTTAGCTTCAATAAAACTGGACGATTTATTATTTAAAGAGTTTATTCTTCTTGGTTTAGTAATCATTTCAACAATTTCTTCTTTCTTAAAACCTTAAATAGTAAGAATTATCTGTCAATTAGTGGATTTATAACCAACCGCAAAAAAGCATTGCACTTGCTAGCGTTTAAAGCTAATCAAAGAAATCGCTCTTTACCGTTTTGACTAGCACAGAGTCAAAAGATTTCAAAAATTATTTCCCGCAAACCTTTGCGGTTGTACACAGTAGTGGGTGGCTCAAAAAAAAAATCATGTAAACCACAAATTAAAAATATATATTATCAATTGTTATAGAGATTCACTTTTAAGTTTCTAACACTAATTATTTTTTAACACTAATATCTCAATATGAAAAATTATTTGTGTTACACTATAAAATATATTTGTTTTTAAATAATTATATGGTACTTTGTTTATGGTTTTCATTGTTAATCATGTTCAACTTTTTTATATTTTATCCTAATAATATAGGTTTTGTTGTTTTAATATCTTTATATAATTAAATCTTATAATTAGGTACATTGATACAATAATCAATTATGGATTTGCCATTTTTTTGGATGGCATTTGTGGATTTTGCCATTTTTTGAATAGTTTATAGATTTTGCCCTTTTTCAGGCTACGGAAATATGATTTAACATGCGTTTTATTCGTTATGTTTGGGTTTAGTCGGTTGTGGTTGTTCTTAGGGTTTAGTATTTTGTATAAACTACGTATTTTTACAAAAAAAATCCGAAATACGTACATTTTAAAGTGTTAGAAAATGACATATCCGTAAGATTTTAGTAAAAATGGCAATTTCAAAAGATTTATATGAAAAATGGCAAAATCAACAATAATCCCTTGATACAATTATGGAAGCAAGTTGGCTTCGCAAAAATGTACACATTGTTTTCTAAAACAATAGAGCTAGGTTTATATAGGTACTTGTATTAGTCAAGGATTATGTCTGTTTTCATTTCGTCTGTCTTCTTTTTTTTTTGTTTGCTTAGATTATTTCTTAACATGTTTGAACACAACATTGGAAGCCCCGGTGACTAATATTCGGTGCTATAACATTTATTGAAAAATATTATAACATAATGTAAAAAAATTTAAATATATATACGATAAAAGAAAAAAGGGTTGAAACAATTACATGCCAAGAATTCTGATATAAAAATTATACTAAGTTTTTACTACAGTTCTTTGGGAAAATTATTAATAATAATTCTAGTTTCATATAATTTTAATTTTATTGATTTATTAAATATCAATAATAATAGTAACACCGTATATGTCAGTTCCTCCATTAGAATCTTGTTGAAGACAACAACAATAGCAGCTAACTAGTCAGGTAGCATATTCAAGCTTGTCCAAGAAGAGTAGCAGCATGAAGAAAGATAAGAATTTATTCAATTTTTACAGAAATAGATTCTATAAAAATAATCGATAAATAACCCTAATATAAGAATTTATTTAATTTTTATAGAAATAGATTCTATAGAAATAAAACCCTAGTTTTGTAGAAATAGGTTATAGCGTGCCGGTTAAGACTTACGTTATAAGATATTTTATTTCATACGTACATATGCTTCTAGTTTTTTGAGAAATTCCTCAAAATAGTGCACTTTCAAGTCTTGTTACCGAAAATACCACTATTAATTTAATGTTCCAAAAATATTACCAAAAATTTTAGTTTTTCAAACATACCACAAACACAAAAATTGATTTTCAAGAGTTTAGAATTTAAATTTTTAGGTTTGGATTGACTATTTTATATTTAGGGTATAGGATTTACAGTTTAGTGTTAGAGGTTGAAAGTTAATTTTAGTTTTATGTTATTTTTGGAAAACCAAAACCTAAGTGTGGTATTTTTGAGAATTGCCATAATTTCTTTTTGTAAGAAATTATTGTAAATTAATATAAAGAATTATTACGAATTTTGCCATTGTTAGAGTGTCATTTATGGATTTTGTCATTTTCTCTAAAATCTTAAGGATTTGCCATTTTTGAATATTTAAAATTTCAAACTTAAGATTTTTTTTGGCTAAAATACTTTAGAACAAATACTAAACCATAAAAACAAATAGAACCGACTAAATCCAAACATAACGGGTAAAGTGCATGTTAAACCATATTTTTATAACCTAAGAAAGGGCAAATTCATAAAGTTTTAACAAAAATGGCAAATCCACAAATACCACCTAAAAAATCGCAAATCCATAACTGGTTCTTAATTTAATTTTGAAATAATTTGAATGGGTACCTTGTATTTTAATAGAAATTTGAAAGCTACACCATAATTTTAAAATATTTGAAACATACCTTTATTTTTTCCTAAAATGACATTTTTGCCCTTAATCACTAATTAAAAAATCAGAAAATAAAATAAATTGATTAATTAGTTATATAAACTATATTATTTTTAAATTAAAATTAAACTTGTTCATATTTAGAAAAAAAAACAGATACTCAAAATATTATAGCGAAAATTTGTTTACCACATTTTTTGTTTTTTTTGTTATAGATATTTTGTTTTTAATTATTTTTGATCCAAATTTTAGATAATGATATATTTAAATCAGATAATATCCAAAAAACAAAAAAAAAAAACTCAAAAGTCGATCTGTTCAAAATAAAATATTATCTAGATTTTTGTTTATTTAAATACATTATATTTCTTTCATAGTTTTTACAAATATAATTGTATAATTTAAATTAAATCGTTTTGAATTAAATTATTTTAAAAAATCAGTAGTTCAAAAAGTCCACAATGTAAAATATCAATGAACCAAAATATAAATCGACTGTTTTAATATAAGTCGATAGAAAATAAAATTAAGTCGATTAAAAATAAAATATAAGTCCACGGTTCAAAAAGTCTACTTTATTAATAAATCAACGTAAAATATAATAAATCTTCCAAGAATAAATAAGTCAACGGAAAAAATTATAAAATCAACAATAACAATAAATAAGTCAACAGTTTAAAAAAGTCATCTATGTAAAAAACTAATCAACAAAAATATAAGTCGACTGTTTTAAAAAAAATCGATAGAAAATAAATTTAGTCGACGGAAATGAAATATAAGTCGTCAGTTACAAAAATCGAGCTTAATAATAAGTCAACGTAAAATGAAGTAAGTCTATCATGAATAAACAAGTCGACATAAAAAAGTTATAAATCTATGAACAAAAATATCAAGAAATAGTTCAAAAAATCGACTATGTTATAAATCAATGAGCCAAAACATAAGTTGACTGTTTTTAAAAAAATCGAAGATGCAAAAAATTAAGTTAAAAGAAGTAAAAAATAAGTCGTTAGTTTAAAAAATCGATTTTATTAATAAATCAACATAAAATGAAATAAGTCTAAAGAAAAATATGGAGGAAAAAATTTAAATTATTATTTTATATATTATAAATTATATAAATTTAAATTACTTCTTTTTTAAATAAATTATGAATATAAATATATCAATAATAATTTTTTATATTTTTATTTATTCAAAATTTTAGATTAAGATTAAAGTTACCATTGTAAATACTTTTTTTAATATTTTTTCATATAATTACGTTTTTTAGTTAAAATTTTTAAATATATCATTAAAAATTAGTTTTAGATTTAATTTTTAGAATTTAAATTAATATTTAAATAATACTTAAATTATTGTAAAGGGTATTATGGTCAATTTTTAACAAGAAAAGAGTAGTTTTCAAATTACTATAAAATTTGGTGTAATTTTCAAATTTCTTATTATATTTAGTATATTTATAAAAATCTCCCATTAATTTTCTGGTAGTTAAATAAAAGATATATATGGGCTGTTATAACAAACGTTTTGGCAAGGAATGTGTTTTTAGTCAAGTAATTAAGTTCATTTGACTTCATCTTCTCCACCGGAATTCGATTCTACTAAGTCGCGTTACCCCGTGCAGTAAGAATTGATTATGGATTGAGCTTTATTGATCTAAAGATGTATTAAAAGTATAAAAACAAACAAACAAACAAATGTTTTGGCAATTAATATCAAATTCCTTCGAGATAAACTATAAATGCAAACCATGCCTAGTTGTTTACCATGGTAAGATATTTAGAACATATGGTCCACGCGCTTTCTTTTTGAATTATTTCCATGCATAATTTTTTAACTCTCGTTTCGCCAGTCGGTGTCACGTTTTAATTCTATTATAAAGTCCGGCGAACGAGTTATTTGATTGTTACACCCACAGATGGTTTTAGATTTAAAAAAAAATGAAATGTATGGGACAAAAACAAAACATGCATGGAAACTTTCATCATTTTTGT